GTGTACTATGTTTCTAAATGAGGGGTTGCGACTATGCGTGTTTAAATATTGGAAAGAAGCTATTATGTTTAGACGTGGGACCATATCAGAAATAGGGTTCACTTCCATCTACCATTTAGCCATGAAGCTTAACGCACCTCACCGAGGTTTAGATATCTCATGTATATGGGCAGGACTCTAGGAAATGCAATATAATCACCTTAAGATGAATAATTTCTTGTACCTTATAAAATCACAAAAAGCTGGTTCACTTGGACTCAACTTGGAAAAGGATACTTGAGAAAGCATGATACATGACGATGTTCGGCAAAGAACAATATTAAAAATCCCAATTTGCTCACTAAAAGTTCTCGACATTTGGTTCATAAAGATGAGTGGATCATAGGTGAATAATACCCTCTAAGCATGACAGCTAAAAATTTAGAGAAGAAAAAGGGGGGTCAGCTAAACTGTTGCCCTTTCATTATTATAAGAAAAAGAACGTATTATTGCAGCAAATAAGAGGATTCGACTTCTCACAAATTAATGTTTTCCTTGAATAGGACCTCAAAAGAAAAACAAATCCCATCTGATAACTGAAATGTTGTGCTAGATGAGTACATCATTTGTAATACTGAACTACTCAAACAAGAATTCTTGAACAACGAGGGTAATCTACCAAATCTTCAGAATGTTGGCATCAATTCAGGTACCCCCATGTTGAGATAAAAGGCATATGATCAATCTGGAAAGCAGAAACCTTAATGAACCTCCCAAGTTTACATTAATTATAGAAACAGTCATTAAGATGAACCTGCATCGTCTATGTAAATGTCCGAATTTGTTTACTCGAAATGATCTTCGAGGAAAAATCTGAGATTCGCATACTGAATGATGATCAGAAATCAATTGTAAAAAGCGTGATTCATGGAAGTTCAGATATTTGGGAGACAGCGGGCATATTATTCCAGGTAAGGCACCATTCAGAACTTAAAGCAGAAGTTCCAGGGATAGTGTCCTTTACTTCAGTGTCTAAATCATCTCCAAGAAGAGCTGTTATGTCATCCATCACAGTGCCATGTTCCTTTAAGCAGAAAGTACTCTGCTCAAGCCAACATGAACCAATTACAGCATCAGGCCTGGAATTTTGCAATTGATTCAGATATTCTCTTTTCTCTCCATCTAGGGTCCAACTCTGTTCAATCCCTATTCAAGAGACAAAATAAGAGAACAAATTCATGTCCTGAGAGAGTTTTAAAACTCTACAACTAAAAGACATCAAGATCATCAGGAAGGAGCATGGAAAACTGTATAGTCAATTTAAGTGTGAAAATAGACAAAACTAAGGGGAAAAAATTGATACATATGAACTTCAGGAACCTATGAAACTGTGGATAAGACACATCCTTGTCCAACAATGTGAACTTTAAATTTTTCCATTGCAATTCACCCACAGACTAAAATAAAATAAGCACAAGAATATTTCAGAATCAACAAAATGAATCGACATTCTGTACGCAAATAGTGTACTCAAAGAAGATTAGACGAGAAAAATGTGTTCCTCAAAGATAGAATTCTACACCGAATTTCCTTTCCCAAATCCTTCGATTTCCTCCAGTTGCCCATCTGCAGCAATCAAGCCTCATTTACCATCATTCTCAGTCCCCCACTACAACCTGTCCCCAAATACCTTTGATCCTGTCGCAGTACCCCCAGCTCCTCCCTTGTTTTCTCTTCTCCTCCAGAAAAGAAAAATATAAAAACAGACACTGGAGAGTTCCCCTGTACCCTCATAACCAGTTCACCATCAATCTTGCTCCTCAAAATTCAAATAAAAAATTTCAATAATTTATTCTGTTTATGCCTGTTTTCATTTACCACCATTACCAACAGACGATGAATAATTTTCTATTCACTTGCTACCAACATGCAGACAGATGTGAATCAAGTGAGCAGCCCTAGTTTATGCCATCTCAAGAAGGCATCAGAAGCTACATATACATAGTATTTAGCACAAATCTAATTATTAAAATCAAAAGAAGGGTGGAAAAAATTTCACGAGTCAACTTAAAAGTCATCTAATACTAAGAGGCTACAGGTAGTAACAGTACAAAGGAAAACAAATTGCCATAACTTTACACGTACTTGTAATTTGGCCCTTAAAATAGAGAGTTTCTTGGAGCTCATTTTTAAGCACCGACTCTCTACAACAGAGAGTATTTTGTATTTAAAGAGTCTCTTGGAGATACTCTTATGTAGAGTTTTATTGATCAAAATGTCTAAACAAGGAAAGGGAAGAGCATAGATTTACAGAGTCCAATGACTACACGACTTTCCATTCACTACATAGAATTTATCCAAGAGAGTATCGTTGGCCTGGTAATTCTGCAGAACTGAATTATTTACTGAATAGAGTACAATTCATACAATAACTAAGTCATTTAAGGATATTATTAGGAGGGCCATGCAAAGGCAGTTTACTCTCCCGTTTACTACACATGGATTAAGATCAAATCAACATGCATTCTCATTCTGTCAAGTGCTGATATACTTCTAACCTCTCAGGAGCACAAGATCAGTCGGCACATAAATTCTTCAATCTGGTTTTTTATGGTAATGTAATGATAAGATTCCTGAAACTAGAGCTCATCCAGAAACTACATGGATGAATATAAGACAATAAATATTAGGATAATCAGTACTTCAATCACTTGTAGCAGCCACAATATATATAAATTTTCAGAATTATTTTAAGGTCTTGTAACAGCTGCACCATAGAAATGCTGATAGAAAGGAAAACTGATTCTTACCAGGTATATTTTCATCCAATGAACTTCCATTGTCACACCTAGGAGTGCACTCGCTTAAAATTGAACCTATTGAATTACCCAGTGGGGACTTAGCGTCATGATAGTCTCTGAACTCGGTGGAGGATGTTTTAAAAGCAGAACTGTCAGTTACATTATTATGAGAAGTCATAGAGGAACTTTTACTCTTTTCAGAAGACTGATTCCTTGAATTGCCCAACGAATTAGCCTCATAAACCAAAGCTTCCAGCAGTCCACTGCTCCGAGGTGAAGGACAATCTGATGGCAGTGGCACAGATTGGGGAGACTGGATGAAAGAATCCACTAATTCATGTACAGGGGGCAGAGGAGGTGATTTCCACCGATCTAAACTGGTTTCTTGACGTTGGAGTGAAGGGAGCTCTAACTTCACAGCACCTGCTGTGGGCTTAGAAGCAGAAAAATTGCCATTTAAAATAGAATGGCTGTGATTTACACCAAAAGATAATAGCTTCTTGGTGACTGGATCAGGGTCGTATGGAAAACATGGAACTGCTAGTTGAGACATTTTATTCTGATAACCATCATTTTGAACCCTATCAAGTGAGGGAATATCATCTGAAGTACTGTTGCTATACCATGATACACACTCATCTGGTTCCCGGGTTCGCTTCTGGCGTCTTGGGATATGAGGAATAAAGCTATGAAACTGAGAATTTAAACCTTTCATCAACAAGCTACTGGCAGAACTATCTGGAAATTCTGGTACATATGGTAAGACTCCCTGATTGGTGTTTAAACTATCAAACGTCACATCAGGTATCTGATAACCATTACTTTGCAAGAGATTATGACATTCTGTATCTCCACCGGGTATTCCAGATGCATTTAGATTTTGTTCATTCTCCTGCATTGCTTGCATGCATAACTCAGGAGGATATAATGGTAAGCCAACACGTTGACGTCTTTTGATCCGGGTATTCCAGTAGTTTTTTATTTCATTATCTGTACGTCCAGGCAGCTGGAGGGAACAAGATGCAACGTGTTACAAAATTCAGATCGAACAATTTATGCTTACAGCTTTGCAAAAATTGCATCATGAATCTCAAGATCCGATAAGCAGTATTTATATGATTAAATTCCACAATCAGGGTGTAACAAATGGAAGTAGCAATTCAGTTTTGACACACTGAATTTCATGATGTGATATACCTCAGGGTTACCATTTTTTTCGTTTCAGATACCCTCTGAGGATATTACTGTTGGGTAGATATCAAAACATTTTATAACGCATAGTTTAAAATATCATTCATATCGGTAATCTAGCATCTCAAATTTGCAAATAGATTGGCTTCCCCACTCCATTGTTTTCAAATCTTCTTTTACCATTTCTCCAATGATTCTTTCCTTTCATTGTGAGTGTTCTTATGTAGCAAGAAGAGGAACTCAGGTAAAAGTTGAGGTCCCCAAGAGAGATGGACGATAATCCTTACAGAAATTCACAAGCACGCAAGATCTACAATAAATTAAATCTCCGAGAGATTATGTTGGCTTTCAGCCAACAACTACAGGTTACTAAATTTTTTACTTTACCCAGTTCCATAATAAAATATTGAAATTATATCATTGCAGCTTAGTTTCTATATATAAATGCCTGTCAGCATCTTTTTTCTAGAAATCATTCAATTTCATTTCCGCAAAACCAACTCTAAATCCAATCCACACAAATACAATAATTTATATTGCAGTTAACTTTCTATATATAAATGCACTAAATTCTTTAGATCATCATAAGGATATGTATAAATTGCAATCTAACATTATTACAAGTAAGACTCACATTTGCAGCCATTCGAGCCCATTTGTTACCTATCTTGGCATGGAGTTCAATGATTAATCGTTCTTCCTCTGAAGTAAATGCACCTTTCTTCAAATTTGGCCTAAGATGGTTAGCCCATCGCAGACGGCAGCTTTTACCACACCGAGAAAGCCCTGAATGTTTCTGGACTGCATTCCAGTTACCTTCTCCGTGCTTCTTCACATAGTCCACCAAAATTGCATCTTCTGCGGAGGTCCATGGCCCTTTCTTCAGAACAACTCCTCCATTTGAACTCCCTCCATAACTACCACGTTCATCAAACAAAGCTGAATCAGCAGATTGTTCTTTGCTGTCAGCACTGATGCTGCAGCTCATCTTTCTGACAAAGATCAATCTGACTTGCCAAACTCCAACAACCAAATAGCTCAAAGTATCAAACTAATTGGGAGTGTCTAACAAAACTGCAGATGTTGAAATGCCAAAATTAGTTACTGATCCACTAGAAAATGATTGCATATTCACTATATAAAGACAGCAATACTAAAATGGTCAACATGTCAATCTCAGTTTGATACGAATATAATATACTAAGAGATATAACATTAATAAAGGAAACAATTATGATAGAGAAAATTTTCGACTACAAAGACATGCAGAATCACGAAAACAAGAGAAAAAGTAATCAACAATTTGAATAAATGCTGTCATCATCATAATCATCATCATACCCCTAGTAACACCAAAAAGAAATGTTGATATATATATATACATACATTCTTATAAAGAATAACCCATTAAAATTCCGTACTTAAATTGAGCCATTGTCTACAATTAACACTATAACAATTAGAACGAGTTACCAAATCTAGAAGGTTCTCGGAGACTTATATAGGAAATGAACAAAAAGGGAAATTAATGAAGAAATAGTCATTATCCTCCTTCATTATCTGTTGAGGTATTTATTAAAACATTCCATTTATATAAACGAGCCAAAATTCAAATCCCCTTCAATGAATGCTTTCCTTAATTTCCCATACAGGGAACCCAAATGAATATAGCGGAATTACCTGGATTATGAAGAATTCAATATCTAGAAAAGGAGCTAACAATCAAGATGCCCAATAAATATAGAAATAGGATAAGTAATTCGCAGCCGAAAGGCCTTTCAAGCTATATATACACACAAATAGATACATACACGCGCAGAAACATAGACATATACACTACTCTATATCTATACGTATATCTACATCGTGGTGCGTGCATTTGTGCGTGAAAGAGGGGAAGGAGTGGGGCGGGGGTATACATACCCTTGTAATTCGATCGAAGCTCACGCAAGTCACTTGATGATGATTATGATGATCACGGCATTAACGCCTTTTATTTCTGTTATTGTTATTTTATCTTTTTCTATTTTGTCAAAACTTTTTCCCACTCTTTTTTGAGATATTTAAATTAAATTAAATCAAGCTAAAGATAAGGGACTAAGAGTTACGCTTAAATTTTTAATTATGCGATAAAATTCGTAAGTCATAGTTTATCGAGTAAATTTGGGTTGAGCTCTTCAACGTCTCCTATGGAATAATTATTGATATCTAAATATTTAAAAGTGAATTTATTATTATTACTTTTTAATCTCGACCTGTTCAAATTCGTGAAATTAGCCACCACTTGACAAACTGCGTTAAAATTGCACATAAATTTCAATTAAATTTGAGATAAATGCCAAGTAATTTTCATGTAAAAATTGCACACAGTCTATTGATGGTTTCAGTTAAATGAGAACGCAAATTCTTAATTTTAAAATGATCGAGGACCAAAAATCTCATTTTTAAAGGTCAAAGGTGCATAATTACACTGCGTGAAAGTTTGAGATTAACCTAATTTTTCAAGTAGATTTAGAATAAGCAAACCTTGTATATTTGGACTCATGGACTAGATATTTTATGGGACTCTACACATGATATCAAATGGTTTCATGTGCAGTGGTAGAACTAAATTAGACACAACTAATCCTCTTTTATCTTCAAAAAAAAATAAAAAAATAAAAAAATAAAAATTTAAGTGTAAACTCTTATAAAAAAATTTAAATCGGTTTTAGGTTTACTCAAAAAATCACCCAATTCTTTACCCCGCCCTCGCCCCGTTGCCATCACTAGCTCAAATAGAGCCCAGCTAAAGCTGACAGAAAAACAAGACTTGACTCGGACTTTTGGGCTGGGGCTTTACCAAGATAAACCTGAGCCAACTCAATTTTTTTTTAAAATCCTGAAATTAAAAAAATTTTAAATATTAAAAAAAAAATTATACAAGCTGCCTGTAGCATAGGCAGCACGCAAGCAGCTTGTAGTGACACTGGCCATTTTGACCAATCGTACGGGCTGACTCAGGTCGATGCCCAAAAATAAAACGCGGCCCAAGTCTCAAGCTTTTACTGAATTGGCAAGTCAAATTGACATTCTTATTCATCTTCAACTAAAACCAAAATAATAACCGAAGAGACACCATTAGACCATATACAGGCAAACATAGCAATGTAAAGAAGAATTTGAAAAAGTAAGGATTACCTTTATTTCGTGTTTGATGAATTTAGCATGTAAATGATTACTGATTTGTGCTTGGGTTATTTGATAATATACCTTTTGAATTCAAATAGTATTAGTAAGAAATTTCATTCCAAATTATTTGAGTTTTCTGTTTGGATTATCTTTTCTTGATTTTCTTGAATTGATAATATCGATAACTATATATTTCTGTTAAGATTATCAAATCAATACAAGTCATTTGAGTTTTTGGTTTAAAAGGCGTGTTATTAACACCTTGTTTCGTAAAGCTTTACTATAACTTTATCAACTTTTAAATTGATCAAACTTCAATTTTGATCACATATTTCATGGAACCCACGACTTGTCAACTTTTTAATCATATATTTCAACAATTTTTGTCAAAATCAATTTAACATAAAGCTTTGTCACATAGACCTAATAAAAGCATGGAAATATACCTTTTAATCACATGAAAAAGATTTAAAATTTCTTGTTTGTACGTAGGATGAGGACTAAAAAGAATATTTATCAGCCCGTGAAAGAAGGAAAAGTTAAATATATATAAGGCATGGACACGTTACTTTTTATTTCATTGATGTCACGATTAATATCAATTTACTATTTTTAGTATCTATGTTTGAAAAAGATAGTAGGAATATAAAATTTATTATTTGAATAATTTCTCATTTTTATATGAAAAGAATAAAGAGATAGAAGAGATGCTAATAGACTCGGCGGACATTGGAGATGGCTTGATTTTCGCCAATGAAAATGAGTTCTTAATCAAGATGGTCGAGACTCGAGTGTGATTCACTATAGCTAGTGCAAAATCCTTCGCTCAAATATTTTTTTTTCTCTCGCTCTCCAAATGCAAATATTTTATCCAATATTGGCACTTGCAGCTTTATTTCTTGCAAGAAGAATAAAGTATTCGATTAATTGTATTCCTCATTTTATTTTGTCCCCAACTCGTAGCGGTTTGAGTTAAAAAATTTCTACTTTTTCATAAAATAATAATAATAATAAATTATGTGAATTGCAAATTCACTAAAACTCATGAGGCAAAAAAACCTTTGTGAATTGCAAAGTTATTGAAATTTTGAGTCCTTTTAGTTGTTAAGCCTATTATATATTATTCTATTATGAATATTAGAACTTAAAGTAAATGGTCTAAATACTATTCTTCCTTAATTTAAAAATAAATAAATTCAGGACAAGACTTGATTATAAATACAAAATTGAATGCATAGTTCTTAATTTTAAGGTATCCTAGTTAAAATCCTTGTGACTTAAAATCATGTTTTGCACGTTTGGTGCATTTAATAGAATAACAGATAAGTATTTCATATTATTTTATTTCCTAATCATGATTGCTTGTATTTATTCCAACTTACGTGCTCTACATTTCCATATAAATTAGACAAAAATAATGGATCATCGATTGAGCAAATTTTATATTGTTTTCCCGTCTGCTTTCGTATATACGATATGGTGGATGATACATAAGAAAGAATAATGTTATTTATTCCCTATAAGAAAATATAGTACTAAGGTAGTTATTGTCATCTTGAACTCGACTATTATTCTTTTTGCTGCAAAATACAAAATTTCTATCTACATTATTCGTATATCATCTTTGAATTGAAAGGAAAACTAATATTTAGTTTCTTTTCTTTTTGGGAAAAAGTTTTTTTTTTTTCCCTTTTTATCATTATCTTGACCACACTAGGCACCAGCTTCCATCATCATTATCCAATTGCGTTGAAGAATTATGTGCATAACAATACAAACATTGAATTGAATATTCTAATATAATTAATAAAAGAACACACAAAAAGTTTGAAAGTAATGATATTCATCCAAGATTATCATTAATTTGTATGACGATAGGATCCAACCAAGAAAAAAAAATGAAATATGCATTTCAATTTCATTAAACAATATGACTTGACATCACTGTCACATAGACTCAAAGTTTTATCGATCAAGATAAATGACACTATTGAAATTTAAACACATACGATGTGTTTAACAGAATCGTATTAAGGATGAAAGAAAAAGAAGAAGCTAAAATTGTGATGAAAATTCAAGAACCGAAAATTCAACGACAAAATCTTTTTTATTATCCCTCATGACTTATTTGATAAAGTCAACTGAATTATGTAATATTAAAAAAATGTATATATCTTTTTCATCATATAATAATAAATCCACTCGATGTGAATTCTTTTCCGGCTCTAAACTTTGATATGGCCATACAATACCATAAGAGGCCTTGCCCATACCCCAAGTTGTGAAGAGAGTGATGTAATACAATACAAGGGATTATCCTCTTTCCACATACGAGGTTTTGGTGTGTAGTATAAAAGTTGTATATGTTACGTATGTATTAGTGTATTTTTGTTCATGAAATACATGTTCTTGCTCATATTATTAAACTCTACACTTGAACCTCAAACATTCTATATTTGGTAGGTGATGAAGGCAAGGAATATCAATCCCCTTGACCCATTCCTCGTCAATTATTGTGATATTGATGCATATCTAGTACGCAATGTTATTCTGAGACTAGTCCAATGCTATTTATTTCTTTACGTCAAATACTCATTTGGATATACATCTTGTAAGTAAGCATTGTTTTTGTTTTGCTAAAAATGTTTTAAAAGTCAATTCGGGCATTGACCCTAAAAAAGGAAAAGTCAGGGTCAAAATGGAACCGGAATTCATCCGGTCATTTTTTTAAAAAAATTTAAATTTACGAAAAAAATTAAAGGATGAATTTTTGGACGGATTCTCATGATTTAAATCGATGAAACCAAAAACGGGTCAACTATTTTCATAAATGGGACTAGTTAATGGATGTTTAGTGATTTTCTGTAAGTAATTTTTGTGCCTAATCTGCCCGACTTTGGATTGAAATTTTACCGGTCAAACCAACTAGTAGGAGTGGGCAATTTTTCCCAGAACCGGTAGAATTGGACCGAAACCGCTTAGAACCGATCGGTTCGGTTCCGAATCTTCTAAAAAATAATTTGATTTCGGGACAAATTTTTAAAAACCGACCGGTTCTGATCCGATTCCTGGTTCTAGTATGGGAACCGTGAGAACCAAACGGTTCTCATTGGATTTTTTTCATTTTTTCATTTTTTTGGGTAAAATATATGACTCAATCTCCAACACTTTTATAAAAAATAATCGAG